ACAGATGTGCACTGTGCACTACCACACCCAGCCTTGCTGGCTTCTTACTAGTCATGGAACCACAAGCAAGCTGTTTAACTGTCTCCTGCCTCAGTTTACCTCATCTATAGAATGAACATCATCTTAATACTTCCCAAGTTTGGTGGAAAGAAGCACAGCACCAAGCCTCTGTGTGTGTGTACACACACACACACACACACACACACACACACACACGCATGTAGTGTGGGGGGCTGAACTCAGGGCTTCGTTCATGCAGGGCAAGCACTCTATTGACTTCCCCAGTCCCACATAAGCTAATTATTTGTCTGGAGCTGAGTCTTCAGCAATGATTGGAGAAAGGCTTCTGAAGAACTCAGTTTTTAGTGACAGATAAACAAGTAAACAAAATTTCTAGTGGTGGTAGGAACATGAGGACAAAATGAATGATGTGAGAGGGGGAGGGAGCTGCTTTTGACAGAAGACAGGGCCACTGGAGGCCTTCAGAAGTGGAATTTAACTGAGACCAGTGGAGGAACCATTCCTTGGAGGGTTGGAGAGAGGGGTATAGGGAATAGCCTAGACACATGCAGGCTTTAAGGCAAGACATCTCTGCTTAATCAAGAAGGAATGGGGCCAGCAAGATGGCTCAGTGGGTAAAAGTGTTGCTTGCCACCAAGCCTGGTGACTGAGTTCCATCCCCAGAACCCACATGGAAGCGGAAGGAAAGAACTGACTCCTGACTCCTTCACTCTCTTCTCTGATCACGTGTGACCTAGCATGCCCATGCACATGTACACACATACACACACACATAGACACACACACACACACACACATAAATAAATGTGATTTTTTGCTTTTTTGTTTATTTGATACAGGGTTTCTCTGTAGCCCTAGGTGGAACTCATTGTGTAGATCAAGCTGGACTTGATCTCACAGAGCTCTGCCTCTGCCTGGGATTAAAGGTGTACACCATTATGCTGGACAAATGTGTGTGTGTGTGTTTTTTAAAGGATGTGGCTTAGTGGTATAATATGTACAAGACTGTGTTTAATCCTCAGCATTGGGGGGTTGGGGAGGGGCTGGCTAGCATCCTGTAATTCTTTCTGTCACTTCCAAGGTAGAGGCAGAGGATTTTGAGTTCAAGGCTGGTCTGGTCCACATAGTGAAGCTCTGTCCAAATCCCCAACCCTTAAGAAGGCATTGAAGTTTATCATTACATTTCTTCACTCAATTGTGATCATGTCTGTCTTTTCTGAGTATGCTTGTAAGATTATATCTCAAAGTACAGGCCTATATTTTGTTTAGTTTTGATTTTTTTTTTGTCTTTTTGAGACAGGGTCTCTCTGCAGCCCCAACTGGCTGGAATTCACTGTGTAGACCAAACTGGCCTTGCTTTTACAGAGATCCCTCTGCCTCTGCCTCCCAAGCGCTGAGATTAAAGATGTGTGCCACCATGCCCAGCTATTTGTTTTGCTTTTCTGAGATGAGGTCTTACTACATAGACCAGGATAGCCTCCAACTTAGAGTGGTCCTTTGCCTCCCCAGTGCTGGAATTACAGGCTTGTGTGACCATGATCCCAAAATGAACAAACAGACAAATACAAAGAAGGACCAGCATGGCTATAGGTCAGCATGTGAGTGGATACTGGGCATGCAATCTGAGAGCTTGGAAGGGTGGCCAACCAGGACCCCACAGGCCATGACAAGGAGCTAGGGTTCTAGCCTGAAAAGACTGCAAACACTGGAGTGGTTTGAAATTATATATTTACCTGTTTATATGTGTAGGTGTGCACATGCCAAGGCACATGTGTGGAGGTCAGAGGACAACGTTCAGGAATTGCTTTTCTCCTTCCACCATATGGGTCTCAGGGATTGAGCTCAGACTTGGTGGTAGCCACCTTTACCTGCTGAGCCATCTTCCTAGCTTCCTAGTTTTATTTTGCTTTTTTCAAACCCTTTAGTTTTGAGACAGGGTCTCCCTGTAGCCCAGCTAGCCTAGAATTCACTATGTAGACTAGGCTGACTTTGATCTCAGAGATCTGCCTGCCTCTGCCTCTCAGCTGCCTGCCTCTGCCTCCTGAATGCTGGGATTAAAGGCATAGATCACCACACCTGGCAAGTTTTTTTTAATTGCTAATAAGATATAGGAATAGTACGTATGTGCAGTATATATATTAAGAATAAGGTTTCTGGGGTTATCGAATTGATTGTTTGTGGGCTCCCTCTGGTGGAGCAGGTGGCTCAGCTTGTATAGATTTACACCAGTAAAATCAAAATACAAGGAACAATTTATCTTTTCATTTAAAAATTTTCATTGGGTGCCTACTATGTGCCACCCTCTGTTCTAGTGCTAAAATACATTCATGAACAAAATAAACATCCAAGTTGCACATGGTGATGCCTGCCTTGGAATCCCACTACCTGGGAGGGAGGGTCAGGAGTTCAAGGCCATTTTCCACTACATATCTAACTCAAAGCTAGCCTGGCTCAAACGAGACCTTATCTCAACATACACATAAAACCCCCCAAAATGAAATCCAAGCCCACATGGAGCTTATATTCTGGTGGGGAGGGAGACGTTAATCCACATTTACAAGTAACTTGTTGGATAGGATAAATGTTGAGAAAAATTATTGGGAGTAAAAAGTACAAGACGTTCCAATCTTAAATGTAGTGTCAGGGAAGGTGACATTTGAATAAAGATGTAAAGAGATGACAAGGTGAATGATATAGACGTTTGAAGGAAAAGCATTGCAGCCAGAGGGCTCAGCAAGCAGATGGCCCCTGAGCCTACCTGCAGGCTTGAGAAACAGCGAAGAGGCCAGTGTGCTTTAAGTGAAGGGGTTACAAGAGGGAGTCTGAGAGGAGGTTAGGGTTATAGTTTGGACAGGCAGATCTTAACAGTCCTGGAGGCCAATGTAAGGATTTTGTTTCACTCTGAGATAGCAATTCACTGAAGGAGGCACATGATCTGATTAAGGCTTTAACAGGAACCTACTGCTACTGTGTTAATAGATTGTGGGATTGCAAGGGTATAAATAGGGTACTCGAAGTCACAGATTGATTGTGGTTTATACAAACAGAGGTGGGAGGGAGCTGGAGAGATGGCTCTAGGGGTTAAGAGCACTGGCTGATCTTGCAGAGGACTCAAGTTCAATTCCCAGCACCCACATGGAGGCTAACAACAGTCTGTAACTCCAGTTCCAGGGGATCCGATGCCCTCTTCTGACCCCACAAGCATTGCACGACACAGGTGCACTTACACACATGCAAGCAACACATTCATACATATAAAATAGAAATAATAAAATTAAAAAAATTATTTTACGTATATGAGTGTATAGCCTGCGTGTTAAGTGCACCTGTGTCGTGCAATGCCCGCAGAGGTCAGAAGAGGGCGCCAAATTCCCTGGAGTTACAGATGGTTCTTAGCTGCCATGTGGGTGCTGGGAATCAAACCTGGGTCCTCCCCAAGAGCAGCTCTTAACTGCAGAGCCATCTCTCCAGCCCCATAAATATTTTTTTTTTAAACAAGTAGATGTGGGAAATGGTTAGATTCTGCAAAGATTTTGAAGACAGCTTCTGATTATGCTAATGATTCAGATGTGGTGTGTGAGACAGAGGGATTAAGAATCTTAGCAAAAGTAGTTGTTTAGTAAATTGCTGAAATAGAAGTGGTTAATAAAAGGTTTTTTTTCTCCTTTTTATATTTAAAGGCTTTTTTTTTTTTTAAAGTTGTGATTAATCTAATATTGTATTTGTACTTTTAGGTTCTTTTTCTTAGGGAAGACCCCTTATCTTTCAAATTGAATAAATTTCAGGTCTCCATAAAATATGTTTTCAATCTTTGCCCACTAGTTGTATTTTAAAATTTGCTGAAGCATTAAAAAAATTTGTTCCTGGGGCTGAGAGAGGTACCTCAGGGTATAAGAGGATTTGCTGTTCTTCCTGAAGACCTGGGTTAGACTCCCAGCACCCATGTGGTGGTTCTGTCATCCTCTTCTGGCCTTTGAGGGCACTGGACACACACTCAGTATACATACAGGCAAACAAAACACCTTAAATTTTTTTTTATGTGTATGAGTATATTGCCTGGATGTATTTAAGTGCACCCATGTCATGTAATGCCTGTGGAGGTCAGAAGACAGTGTCAGATACCCTGGAACCGGAGTTACCTATGGTTTTTAGCTGCCATGTGGGTGCTGGGAACACAACCTAGGTCCTCTGCAAGAGCAGCCAGTGTTCTTAACCACTGTGCCATCTCTCCAGTCCCCCAAACAAAACACTTTTACAAACAAAAATAAAAAAGTCATTAAAATTGTTCCTGAAAACAATGTGCACAAAACGAAAGTAAATATAATATTAGGAACAAACTAAATTTGGGGATAAAATGTTTCAAATTCCCATCCATTTTTCTCTGGCAGCTTTTCTAAATCTACCAGTCACGTCAGCATTTCTCCTCACAGCCCCTTTAATGTAGGAATTACACGCATTTTTAAAGACTTCTTTGAAAAACAGGGCCCTAGCTGGGCATGGCAGTGCAACCCAGTGGAGACCAGCCTGGGGAAAGAGGAGGAGGAAACAGGGAGGAGAAAGGAAAGAGAGTGGAAGGAGGGGGAAAGAGAAAGAGAGGGGGGAGGAGAGAGGGAGGAGGAGGAAAGAGGGAGGAGGAGGAGAGGGAGGAGGAAGAGAAAGGGAGAAGGAAAGGGGAAGAGGAAAGAGGGAGGAGGAGAGAGGAAGGAGAAACGAGGGGAGAGGGAGGAGAGAGGAGGACTAGCAAAGACGGAGGAGGAGGAGGGGGAGAAGGCGCCTAGCCTAGCAGTCTAGGAACACCCAGAGGGGAGTAGGGAGGAACCGAGGTGTCAGTCACTCGTAGGGGCGGGTTGGTAGGCGGGGCCTGAGAATTTCCCCGCCCACAGAGATCTGACGCATGCGCCCAAAAGGTTGTAGTCAAAAGAGGTGTGGATTCTGAGGTGACCCCGGCGCTCACTTCCGGTTCCTAGGGATGCGCATCCGGGTCATGTGGACGCCTCGACTTCCTGCACTCTATAGGTTCCACAGTGGGTCGGAACCGGTCCCCATGCCGTACTGTGGGGTGTCTGCGGCCTTTGGGTGAGTCTCCGGCGCCGCCGGGGTCTGAACGCGGCCGGGCCGGGTGCAGCAGCTGCGGCCTCGGACCCAGTTCGGCCTGGGTCCCTGGGGTGTGTGTATGGGGGGGGGGTCCCTTCGCTCGTGCCGCGTCCCACCGGCCTCCTTGTAGCCCTTCCCATCGCGCTGTCCCGCCGCGTAGCCTTCTGGTGCTCGGCCGCCTTCCGGCCCGGGTCTCTCGCCGCAGCCCCTCGGGTCGCCACCTCTTCGATCCCGGAGCTGGGAGCTCACCCTCCCTGCACCCCGCGGGCCGGCCCCTCCTCTCGGACCTCTCCCTTCTCCCGGCTCTTCTCAGGGTTCCCCAGCCGCGTCCGCCCGCCCCCCTCCACCTGTGACCCTCCCCTCCCTGGTGATACCCACCCCCCGGGACTAGGAGACGACACGAGTGTTGGGCCTGCGATCTCCTAACCCCGCTTAGCCTGAGGAGGTCCCCCTACCCCCCCCCGGAGCCTCAACCCGGGAAGACCTGTGCGGCGTGGGGAAAGTAGTGCTTTAAGGCGCCGGGGCATACGGAGCTCTGGTAGCTTCCGTAGTCCGAGAACAACAAAGACCTTCCAGGCCCTCCAGCGCCTGCGTTTGGGGGGCTCGAGAGCAGCGAACAGGTGGCAGGCACCCGGTCCTGCTCGCCGTCGGGCCTGTGTGATGTTGCTAATTGACAGGTCGTGAGGGCATCCAGCTTTGTGTGCTCTGTCCCATGAGAATGGATGTGCACAGCTGAGGCAAAAGTGAGACTGTGCTGGGTCGGCCAGCTCTGTGTCCTGCGTGGATTTGAACTTGGAGGACAGTTGCTATGACAGAGGACAGAGTGTCCTGGGGGATTATTAACTCCAGGTTTATAAACCTTATTTTAAAACAATTTAGTGTGGTGTTCGTTTTCTGCAGGAATTCATTATTGTGGTTTCACTTAGGCGAGCACAATACGCAGATGTGTAACTCTGTCTTGCTTTTTATAGACAGTGGTTTTCTTTCTCCGTTTTTTTGTCACAATAGCAAGCTTTTCTGTTTTCTTCCTGTCTCTTTATAAGCCAGACATTACTTTCTAGAATATTCTTTTGTGTTTCTTTACTTTTTAAGCCACTGTTCAGAAACCATCTTTTTCTCACTTTGAGTCTTGAGGCATCTTAAATTCTGTAGTGGTTTTAACCAATCTATGACATGAAAGGGATTGGACTTAATAATGGTTAGTGTCCTATTTCGCAAATTTTTTGATCTACAGTATATCTTGAGGTAGAGGTTTGGGTGATCTTTTCCACCCCCCCCTCAGAGTTTTGGTGTCTGTAACATTTCATTGCACATGTCTTTTTTTCTCTTCTGTGTCATCAGGTTCTATTAATTGTATAAACTGTATTCTGAAGTTTAGTGTCAATGGACAGAACAAATACAGCGTTTCATTTGCTAACATCGCTCTCATGTACACATACGAGGGTGTAGCATAGACCTTGACTTATTCCAAAATTGGGCTGCTCCCTTCACCTATTTTTAGCAAAGGACTTTGGAGCTTGGCCATGTTAGTCCTAGATGCCAGAGAGAAAGACCCTTCTCATTGGCTTTCCAGGCTTAACTGCTGAGGGAAGCCCCTTGAAAGTTTATCAGTACTTTCCCCCAGCACTTACACTGGAAAAGGTAGCTTCTGTTCAGCCAGGCCTGTTATTTCCCATCCTCAAAAAGAATCTCAAGCATGGCTGACTCCATTGCTTCTCTGCCTCGTTTGTGGGATCACACACAAAAAGAAAGTCATCAGAGCTTTATATATATATATAATTGATGCAGAATTATCTTTCAACTTTTTTCATTTTTGTGTTTATCCCCCCACCCCATTTAAGTTAATGTAGCCCAGGATGACCTGAAACTCCTGTTCTTTCTGCCTCCACCTCCCCAAGCACTGGAATTACAGCATGTGCAATCATGCTTGACTATTTCTTGAGCATGTTTTAAGCCAAGCCTAAGTAGATTTTTATAGTTTATGACTGGAGAGAATTTAGAATTCAAATATATCCCTTCATTTTATATGTAAGATAATCAGCATTAAGAATTGATGTTTTAGCCGGGTGTGGTGGCGCACTCCTGTAATCCCAGCATTTGGAAGGTAGAGGCAGGCAGATGTCTGTGAGTTCAAGGCCACCCTGGTCTACAAAGTGCAGTCCAAGCCAGCTGGTGCTACAGGGAGACCCTGTCTCAAAAAGACAGAAAAAAAAAAAAGAAAAAAGAATTGATGTTTTTCCAAGATTATAATTTTAATGAAGAAGTCTTACACATGCATTCAGAGTGGTGGTTTAGTTCTATCAAATCTAGTGATACAGGCTAGTGAGTACAGTACAGTATTTCATGGATTGATGCATTTATGTCATAGGAATGAAACTACTAGGATATGAAAATCTATGACATAGCTAGGGGTGCTGTCACTTGCCTTTAATCTCAGCAAAGGGGAGGCAGAGGTAGGTGGATCTCTGAGTTTGAGACCAGCCTGGTCTGCATAGAGTCCCAGACCACCCAGAACTAACACAAGTGAGACCCTGCCTCAAAAAACCAAAACAAATCCATGACATAGATTTACCTTCAAAGAGGAACTAAAGAAACAAACTTAGTGCAGAAGTAGAAGTTGAAGTTTTCTTTTCTTCTTCTTTTTTTTTTTTTTTTTTTTGGTCTTTTTGAGACATGGTCTCCTTGTAGTAACACTGGCTTGGAACTCACTATGTAGACCAGGCTGGCCTTGAACTCACAGAGATTCACCTGTCTCTGCCTCCCGAGCACTGGGATTAAAGGCGTATGCCACTGCGCACAGCAAAGTTGGAAATTTTCTGAAGTGATGGTGGCCATGCTAGTCTGCATAGAAGACCCTAAATGAAGTGAGGGTCCTATGTTCCCACTGGAGCAGCTGTGTTTCCGAGGCTGCTCTCTATATAAAACACTGATAGACTTTCTACTACAGAGAGTCTGCTTTTCTTACTGAGCTGCCAGCCCCCCTACCCCCAGTCAGTGGAGGTAGTGTGTTTCTAAGCTCAGAAGTCATGGTTGGTTTTCGATAGTGTCTCCTCTAGTTTTGAAGGCTGAGAGTGAAATTTAAAACCCATTTCTGCATATTTTACCCTTATCAGGTTTTCTTTTGTTTTGGCTTGATGTTTTTGGTTGTTTTGCCACCTTACTATTGTACTTTCTCAAGAATGTTTTAATTTTTTTCCCTTGAGTACTATGATCTTTCTTAGGGATGATGCTGTTTTAAATATTTAAGAAACAGACTATACCTCTATCATGTCCTCACCGTGTACCTTGGTTTTGTGCCTTTCTAAGCTGTTTCATGACTTTATCCTCATTTATTACAAATAAAAGGCTCTCATAAAGCTTATTTTTTAGTGGTTGTCTAAAAGATAGTTCTGCATCTCATGTAACTACATGTTATTTTAGCATTATTTAAATGGAGGAAGACTAGTTCAAAAAGGAATATTTATTTATTTATTTATATATTTATATGTATGTCTTTTTGAGACAGAGCCTCCCTGTAGCCCCAGCTGGCCTGGAACTCACTATGTAGATCAGGCTGGCTTTGAATTCACAGCAATCCACCTACCTCTGCCTCCTGAGTGCTGGGATTAGAGGCATGTGCCACCATGTCCAGCTAGGAATATGTATTTTTAAATGTTAGGAATAGGTTATTCCCACAAATTCATGTAAGTAATTTATACCAAAAGAGTGAATTGGTGTATGTATAGTAAAGTAGAAAGTAAAATAGCTGGACTTAAAAATATAAGTGTATGCTTCTGTGTAGAATATGTGGCTTAAATTATAAACTACCTTATTGATAGTACTGTGTATTACCATCAGAGAACATAGTATATTATAGAAAATATCTTGAGTTGGTTTGGTGCTGTCAACATAAGTCTAAGGTAGTTATTAAGATATTTTCTGTTTTTATAGTAAATTTAAAAATCAGATATTTAAGACATGAACCTTGGGGCTAGAGAGATGGCTCAGCGGTTAAAAGCACTGACTGCTCTTGCAGAAGACCTGGGTTCGATTCCCAGCACCCACATGGAGGCTACGAACCGTCCCCAGTTCCAGGGGAATCCAAAGCCCTTTTTGACTTCTGTGGCATTGCACGACACGGGTGCACTCACATGCATGCAATACACTCATACACATAAAAATAATAAATGAAATATTTGTCTTTACTCTTTTCTTCTTTTGAATATGCAAAAGCACAGGAAATGTGTAATTTCAATTCTCTCTTTCTTTCTCTCTCTCTCTCTCTCTCTCTCTCTCTCTCTCTCTCTCTCTCTCTCTCAAGATGGGGCTCATATAGTAGCCCAGACTGGCCTCTAACTCCCTATGTAGAGGAGGATGACCTTGAGCTCCTGACCTCCTGCCTCCGTCTCTCAAGTGCCGGGATTTTAGGCATATGCCATCATGACTAGCCTAATACTGATTTATTTTAAATAAGTTAACCAATCAGCCCAACACAGTTAGTACTTAATATCATAAAGATCTTAACTACAGATTGTGGTGGATGTGGATACACTTTAACTTATTAACTTGGTTAGTATTTATACCAGCTAGATTTTTTTCTCCCAATAAAATAGTTAGCAGTAATCTTTGTAATACAGTAATGCAATTTGGGTGCCTACTGTATCCATTATAATATTACTTATAATGTTATTTATTTAGGCTGCTTATATGAATTAAATGATTTTGTACAGGACTAACAGTTATATTACTCTTACTCTCATCTTGTTCGTACTTTTCTGAGGTAAGTATAAAACTTAATAGAATTAAACTAATTTGGAGGGATAGTTGCACGCACCTGTAATCCCAGCACTTTTGAAGCTAAAGGAAGAACTTTGGTGAGTTTGAGTGAAACTCTATCTGAAAAAGAACCAAACCAAAAGTACAAACAGAAAACAACCCTCCCCAAACCCAAAAATAACAACTAACCTTTAGGCCTAAAAAAGTGTCACTTACCAGTGAAAATG